GTTAGCACCAGAATAAACATAAACGAAATCATACCATGTACATCCCACAACCATAAAAACGAAGTTCTGGGTTTGAATTAGTCCACACCGTCATCAATGGAGCATCGAGACCACAATGACATTCGTTCCTCAACGAACGAATTTTATAGCTAGCATTAGAAATAAATTTCAGACATTTTGAATTTGTGAAAGGAAGAAAATGATGAAGGAAAAGATTTTGGAATTTTCAGAAAAAATGGGGATGAAGACGAAGCTAGGATTCAAACATGTATGACATACGTGATTCTATATTCTAATTAATCTTAATTTAAAATGTTTTTCAATAATTAAAAATGATTTTTAAAAATTAAAATTAAATTCTAAAAAAAAATCCAAAATATTTGACGTGACCGAACTACTCACATGGTCATAAAAATTTCAAGTGAGATAAAGATTAATGACTTAAAAATTGATTTTTGAAATAGAAAATCTAAAACTTAAAAAATTTGAAAATAAATAGACTAAAAAACTTGTACGAAACATCAATTTCATAAAAGCAGTTTTTTTTGGAAATTAATGTTCATTATTTGGTTATCAAAGATTCAAAACTATAAAAGAGAACTTGTCGGAAAAAAAAACTATAAAAGAGAAAGAGCTTAAACATGTTTCACTTTTTTATTTTTATTCACTTTTAAAAACAGAAAACATAGGAGAACAATCAATTTTCATTAATGGAAATTAGGTAATTCTAATGCGACTTAGCATATATATTACTCTAAATATATTTGTGTATATTTTTTGAAAGGTTACATTTATATTCTTGAAAAAAATACGTATATTATAAAATATATTATAAATATATATTGTACATTAATGTAACCTTAGTAAAAAAAAGTATATTACAAATATATAAAAGATATAGTAAATAAGAACTCTAATGTTTATCTTAAATATTTAATTTATCATTCTATAAATGTAAGAATAAATATTATTTTGTAATTATTTAGATCCTTATTTGACCTAAAATAAATTATTTCAATTTCTATAAAAAGGTTAATAAAACAAAACAAAATCAATTGAGATTTGATAATTTTTTTAAGTTTATGAAATAACTAAAATATATCATAATCTTTTCAAATTAACTTTATAATTGTAATCATGATAAAAAAATATTAAATGGTAATCATGAAAATTTAATGATAAATGATAATCATAAAAATTTATGATAAAATAAAAAATTATTAATACAATCATTTTAATAAATTAAATAATTTATAATTAATTTTATAAAGGTGAATAAATTACAAATAATTTTATAAATGTAATAAATTAAACTATTTATAAAATTATTTATATCTATTATCTATTATCAGTCTATTAAAAGTAAAGTACCTGGAAATTCCAAGTCTAACCTTTTGATTAGATGTTATAACTTTTCTTATTCCAAGGGTATAATAGACTAATCAACACTATACTGTTACCATATTCATTTGGCATTTAATTTTGCTGACATGTCAATCTATCATAATTTTACACTATTTTTTATTTATTTGATTTATTAATTTATTTTATTTATATTTGAATTTTATTTATATTTGAATTCCAATTCCAATGTTTCATTCATGGTTAATTTATTTATATTTGAATTCCAATGTTTTTTTTTGACAGAATTTGAATTCTAATGTTTGACTCACGGTTAATGAGGAAGGAATTGGAATGACCAAATTAGATCTATTATAATTAAATGGAATATTATTCATTGCATGATTTAAAAATACCCACTATTTATCATTACACTACAAGATTAAATGTATATTATTGAAATTAGAATGGATTATTTTGATATTACAAGATATCACAACTTCCCATGCATTCTAAACCCTATATATAGTCATTCTAAACCCTTACTCTTTCACTCCTCAATCTTCTTCATTCCTCAATCTTCTTCTTCTCCATTATTTTCAAAAGGTTACGTATTATTTTCCAATTCTTCTTCATTCCCATATTTTGATTCTGATTTGTGGAAGATTGTTGTTTGTTGTAAATATATGTGGACTGTGACAAGTTCATCCAACAAACAACACTTGGAACTCATTTTGGTTGATTCAAATGTATAAATTTTTTTGTTAATATATGATGTTGGAGGTTTAAATTAATAGTTCTAATTTCCCACAGTTAATTTTACATTTTGAGTCGTGGAAAACATTTGGAGGTTTAAATTAATCATTCTAACATTTATTTTTATTATACTTATATGGAAATTATTTTGAATGGTGACATAAATATATTTAATTTTTATATGGAAATTATTTTGAATGGTGACATAAATATATTTAATTTTTATATATGATTTGATTCCATAAAATATTATGATCAATAAAATTTGAATTCTCTTTTAATATTATAGGTTTGATACTGTTTCATATTGTAGGAATATATAAAGATATGAAAAAAATTAAATCAAAAATTTACAAATATATCTTTTGAATGGAGGTATTAATATTATTTATTTTTATTATATATAGAAAATATTTTGAATGATCACATTAATACATTTTATTTTTATGCATGATTTGATTTCAAAAATTTATGATCAATAAATTTTGAATGGAATTATAATTTAACCAATAAAATTTTCTACCGACTTCTAAATATATTTGTGTATATTTTTTGAAATATTACATTTATATTCTTGAAAAAAATACGTATATTATAAAATATATTATAAATATATATTGTACATTAATGTAACCTTAGTAAAAAAAAGTATATTATAAATATATAAAAGATATAGTAAATAAGAACTCTAATGTTTATCTTAAATATTTAATTTATCATTCTATAAATGTAAGAATAAATATTATTTTGTAATTATTTAGATCCTTATTTGACCTAAAATAAATTATTTCAATTTCTATAAAAAGGTTAATAAAACAAAACAAAATCAATTGAGATTTGATAATTTTTTTAAGTTTATGAAATAACTAAAATATATCATAATCTTTTCAAATTAACTTTATAATTGTAATCATGATAAAAAAATATTAAATGGTAATCATGAAAATTTAATGATAAATGATAATCATAAAAATTTATGATAAAATAAAAAATTATTAATACAATCATTTTAATAAATTAAATAATTTATAATTAATTTTATAAAGGTGAATAAATTAAAAATAATTTTATAAATGTAATAAATTAAACTATTTATAAAATTATTTATATCAATAATAGTAAATTACATATATTTTAATAATGGACACACGAATTCAACATGCTTATAAACCGGAAAAAAGTTACAATAATTTTATAAACAGGAATAAGTTAATATCATTTTATATAAATTAATGGTATAATATAATATATTAAATATTTATATAACACTTTATTAAATAAATTTATTTCATGAAATTAATTTTATATAATATCATTAATATTTAATTATTGAAAATTCATAATAAACTGAAAAATATTTAATATTTACGATTTTTAATAAAATATTTACGATTTATTTTTTTAAAGTACGACTAATTAATATATTTTTATACAGTATTAAAAACAAATATTACAATTTTTTAATCAAATATTGGAGTACCATTTAATTTGATACTTTACCAATATATCTTTTGAATGGAGACATTATTATCATTTATTTTTATTATACTTATATGGAAATTATTGGTGACATAAATATATTTAATTTTTATATATGATTTGATTCCATAAAATAAATATTTTGAATGGTCATATTAATACATTTTATTTTTATGCATGATTTGATTTCAAAAATTTATGATCAATAAATTTTGAATGGAATTATAATTTAACCAATAAAATTTTCTACCGACTTCTTAATATATTTGTGTATATTTTTTTGAAAGGTTACATTTATATTCTTGAAAAAAATAACGTAGTTTAAAGGATGTATTGTTAACTATAAATATATTGTTAATAAAATTAACAAAAAAAGTATATTATAAATATATAAAAGATAAAGTAAATAAGAACTCTAATGTTTATCTTAAATATTTAATTTATCATTCTATAAATGTAAGAATAAATATTATTTTGTAATTATTTAGATCCTTATTTGACCTAAAATAAATTATTTCAATTTCTATAAAAAGGTTAATAAAACAAAACAAAATCAATTGAGATTTGATAATTTTTTTAAGGTTATGAAATAACTAAAATATATCATAATCTTTTCAAATTAACTTTATAATTGTAATCATGATAAAAAAATATTAAATGGTAATCATGAAAATTTAATGATAAATGATAATCATAAAAATTAATGATAAAATAAAAAATTATTGATACAATCATTTTAATAATGATTACAATTAAAATCAATATGGTATGGCTATATCAAAAAACGTTTCAAGCCTATCAAATGCATGCTTGAGTAGTTACTATTCATGATGCACTTCATTTTCGGTTTCCAAAGTGAAACTATATTGATTTTTTCTGACAATTGCTTTTCTTTTCAATTCAAGATTAATTGGCAGAATGGTTAGAATCTGGAAAGTTACCTTTTCTTATTGGTACTTGATTGTCCATAATTATAACATTTTTAATTAAATTTTGAAATAACACTTAACACTATTTAACGCTATTATTATTATTAATTATTATTATTAATAATTAAAATGGTTCACATAAATAATCACTTGGTATTCTGTTGACTTCAGTATTTTACTTCAAAATCTTGGAACCGTGAATGTTGTATTAACAATTATATTTATTATCATATAACCAAAAACTTTATTCATTTTATGTCTACAATCATTTTATGTGGTTAACAAAAAAAAATTGAATGACAACCATACAATCAAAGTGATTTTCTACCCATTCATTTTTGCATCACCTAACCAACACTATGGAACCACAAGTTGCAGGAATGGCAAGACGTAAAAGGAAGCAGATTCTTAAAGATAAAAGATTGAAAAAAAGGAAGAACTGATGAAAACACAATCAATCCCATTGAAAACTCTCAAAGGTATTATGTTCCAACCATGGTTAATATCAGAACACCACTATCTGATTTAACTTCATCAATCTTTAATGAAAGAAATATGAGTTCACCTTCACCAGCATCTGCATCAAGCAACTCAAGTACAATGAAGAGTTTCAATATTGTTTCTACAAATCAACTGGCTGCTTCAGCACGACAGCGGAGGAAAAGTATTATGGAAGGTAAGATGCCCCAATCTTACAAACTTCATAACAACCTTAGCAATAACAGTGGGGTCCTTTCAGGATAAATTCTCCATCCTTTTCGCATTTCAAAACACCATTTTCTGATATAGCTTCCTCATGTTCTAACCAAAGAAACATAAAACCTCATGCACCGCCAAGTTGTTCTATTCAAAAATCAAAAAAACAGTTGACTGTTACACCTCTTTCTGATATAACTTCCTCATTTTCTAATCAAAGAAATATGGAACCTCATGAACATCCAAGTAGTTATGTTTATAAATCAAAAAAACAGTTGAATGTAGGTGTTATTCAATCCATGACGGTCAAACTCTTCAATTATTTTGGAAATGAGAATCATAATCTGGCTTTTTCATCCACAAGCAATATTCCTATACAAGAACCCACAACATTCACTTCAACTCTAGATGTTAACATTGAGAGTGATTACTCTGGTGATGAGACGGTAACAGATGATTCTCTCAGTGATAGCTCATGTGAATTCAATGCCGCAGATGCAAATTATGACTCAAGTTCCAGCTATGATGACGAAGATGTCTATGACTCCAATTCTACATCATTTGATTCTTTAAATATTGGTATTTATCATTAAAACCAACTTTATTTCTTCTTTAAATTCATTATACATATCAATTTGACGTTGTCCATTACATGTTGCACTTTGATACCTGCTATGATTTAATGTGGATTTTAGTTATAATTTTATTATTTAATATGAACGATTTTAGTTATAATTTTATTATTTAATATAAACCAATTGCTCAACTACGTTTCATTTAAATAGGTTATTCTGATATTGGTGATCCTATAGTTGAATGCACACAATGTGGGGCACTTATGTGGTATCAAGAAAAAACTGACAAGCGAAAACATAGTGCAGTTCCTAAGTTTCAACTATGTTGTGGAAAGGGGAAAGTTGTGTTGCCACTTCTGAAAACACCACCACTATTACTACAACGTCTTTTGTTTGATAATAGTGAGATAGACAGTCGAAATTATCAACAATTTTGTAGAATGTACAACATGATATTTGCTTTTACGTCTCCGAGAATGAAATTCGACAACAGATTTTTAGCTGGAAGTGGACCACCTAACATAAGAATTCATGGACAGACTTGCCATCGAATTGGGAGCATGTTACCTTTAACTGGACAATCTCCAAAATTTGCTCAACTGTATGTTTACGACACCGACAATGAGATTCAACATAGAATTAAAGGAATTGGGTAATTTTACCAAACTTTGTTTTCTTTACAACATATTAAATATTTTTCATTGCTGCATCATAGTATTTCCTTTTATATGCAGGAATAACCCCAATATTATTCCAGAAACAATTAGTAGATTGAAGGACATGTTAGATGAGTTCAACACACATGCCAAATCTTTTAGGATGGCAGCAGATAGATTAAAGGATTGTCCTTTGCCTGATCTCAAGCTTAAGCTAATATCTGATAGATCAACAGATGGAAGGATTTATAACCAACCTACTGTTTCGGAGGTAGCCGCCCTAATAGTTGGTGATGTTGATACGGGTTCTAAGAGGGATATTCTTCTTGAAAGAAAGAGCGGAAGGCTAAAAAGAATAAGTGAGTTTCATTCAAGTTATCTGGAATATCAATATCCACTTTTGTTTCCTTATGGGGAAGATGGTTTTAGACTTGGAGTTCTTCTTAGAGAAACTAATACCAAAAAAAAAATGAAGAGGAATAAGCTTACCATTAGAGAATGGCTTGCTTTTAGGATTCAATGCAGACATAACGAGGCACAAACTATATTGCGGTCAAGAAGGTTGTTTCAACAATTTTTGGTTGATGGATTTACTATGATGGAGTCACAAAGATTGAATTATATTCGAAAACATCAGAAAAAGCTGCGTGTTTCTAAATATTGCAATTTGAGCTCATCTGAACAGAATGCAAACACTCAAGGATCAAACAAAGGTAAAAGAGTGGTTTTACCTTCAACTTATGTTGGAAGTCGGAGGTTTATGGAACAACTCTATTTTGATGGAATGGCAATTTGTAGCCAAGTTGGATTTCCAGATCTTTTTATCATATTTACTTGCAATCCCAACTGGCCTGAAATCCAAAGGTTGCTTAGCAAAATTAACTTGAATTCTCAAGACCGTCAAGATATCATCTCAAGAGTCTTCAAAATTAAGTTCGATGAGTTGTTGTGTGATCTAACAAAAAAGCACGTGTTAGGGAGAGTGATTGCATGTAAGTCAATTTAATACCCTTTCAGTCGAGTTATATTTTTTGACATTAATCTTATTAAATATGTAATATGCATCATTTTACTAAGTTTAAACTTACTTAATTTCAGATATATACACCATTGAACTCCAAAAGCGGGGTTTACCACACGCCCATATACTATTATCCTTCCATCCTTCAAGCAAGTATCCGACTCCAGATGATATAAACAAGATCATTTCAGCAGAGATACCAACGAAAGAAGATGATAGGCAACTCTACCATTTGGTCAAGACACATATGATTCATGGCCCATGTGGTTTAGCAAATGCGAATTCAACTTGCATGAAAAATGGAAAGTGCTCAAAATACTTTCTAAAGAAATATCAAACCGAAACCATTGTTGATCAGGATGGATATCCCGTGTACCGAAGAAGAGAAACTGGTAATACAGTGCTGAAAAAACACGTTCAAATTGTTAACAGATATGTAGTTCCTTACAATCCATATTTGTTGAAGAAATTCCAAGCACACATCAATATGGAGTGGTGTAATCAAAGTACTTCAGTTAAATACTTATTTAAGTATATTAACAAGGGGTATGATAGAATTACTGCTGCTGTTGTCCAAACTGACGGTGATGGATCTCCCTCGGTCAGAATGGTTGACGAAATCAAGCAATATCTTGATTGCAGATATATCTCACCAAGTGAGGCATGTTGGAGACTTTTTTCATTTCCTATTCATGGTAGATCACCCGCAGTTGAAAGGTTGTTCTTTCATCTTGAAGGAGACAACTCTGTTTATTATACCGATTATGAATTGATAGATGAGGTGCTTGACAAACCAACTGTGAAAGAATCTATGTTTACGGCATGGATGGAAGCAAACAAAGCATACCCAGAGGCAAAGAATTTGTCGTACTCACAATTTCTTTCCAAATTTGTTTATGATAAAAGATATCGTCGATGGAGACCGCGTAAAAGAGGAAATACAATTGGCAGACTTATTTGGGTCCCTCCAAGTACGGGTGAGTTATATTTCTTGAGAATGATGCTAACAGTCGTCAAAGGTCCAACTTGCTATGAGGATATAAAATTTGTGGGTGGAAAAGTTCAGGATTCTTTTAGGGATGCATGCTTCGAAATGGGCTTTCTTAACGATGACAAGGAATATGTTGCAGCCATCGACGAAGCAAAGAATTGGGGTTCCGGGCATTTTTTACGAAAGTTATTTGTCACTATGTTACTATCCGGTACTGTCAATAGACCACGACATGTTTGGGAAAAAACTTGGAGGACGTTATCTGATGGTATCCTCTACCAACAAAGGCAAAAAACAAATAGAAGAGGTATGAACACTTTATTAAACTTTTTTAAGTCACCAAATATTATTTTCCGAATGCAAGCTGTATCTTTTTTTATTACAAAATATAATGATATGAACTTACTTTAAAATATAATTATTCTTCATCCATATGTCCCTTATTTAATATGTTTCATAAGGTATGTCCATTTACGTAAGAAACATTTTCATATTTGTCATTTGTCATGTATGTAAGTTATTTTCTTAACTTGCAGCTGCAACAGTGTCTTTGGTTCCATTTAATTTCACGCAGCCGCAACATCAACTGTTTGATTTATGTTCAATGTATTTCAACATCACGACAACAGTTGCATCATACATATGTAATTATATAGAAAACTAATGAAAATTTTTTAACAGAATTGCAGCTATCGGACAATGAGTTAAAGAATCTCACACTAATTGAGATTGAGAACATGATGCAATCGAATCGAAGAACTTTGCATGAATTTAAATGTATGCCGTATCCAGATTCATACATCACAAAACATGTTGGCAATAGGCTTATTTATGACGAACTTAATTACGATGCCGATACCGAGAAACAGAAATTCCAAGAACTTTTTCATGCCCTTACAGGTGATTTATTTTCTTTATACTATGAATTACAAAAATGATTTTTATTGTCCTTGCACTTATAATTCTTGGTTTGTATTTTATAGATGAACAACGTTTGATATTTGAGAAAATCATGGATGTTGTTAACAAACAGAGTTGAGGGGTATTTTTCTTGCATGGTTACGGAGGGACTGGTAAAACTTTCATGTGGAGAACACTATCAAGTGCACTTCGTTCTCAAAAAAAAATTGTTCTTACTGTTGCTTCAAGTGAGATAGCTTCGTTATTATTGCCGGGTGGAAGAACAGCACACTCAAAGTTCAAAATACCTGTGCCAACGCTTGACAACTCAACTTGCAACATCGACAAAGACACCGAACATTCTCAATTATTTGAAGCAACAGATGCGATAATATGGGATGAGGCACCTATGTCTCACAAGAACTGCTTCGAAGCATTGGATAAAACCCTTAAAGATGTAATGAGCAAAAAGGGTGTTGAGAATACTATTTTTGGTGGAAAAGTTGTTGTATTTGGAGGAGATTTTAGACAGATTCTTCCTGTTGTTCCAAGAGCTGGGCGTTCTGATATTGTTCATGCATCAATTAGTTCATCTTATGTATGGGATTATTGCCAGGTTTTAACACTATCAAAAAATATGAGACTTCAAGAGGGAAGAGACAACACAAGTTCTAATGAACTAGCGAAATTTTCAAAATGGATTTTAAATGTGGGTGATGGTAAGATTTGTGAACCCAATGATGGTTTGGTTGATATTGAAATTCCTCAAGAGCAATTGTTGAAAACACATATCCCAATTTGTTAGAAAAATATCAAGATGTTGAATTCTTACAAGGAAAAGCTATTCTTGCTTCAACCATTGAAGTTGTGGACAAAATCAATCATTATGTATTAGACTTGATACCAGGTACATGTGTTTTATATTTACTGTATTATTACATTCATAATATATATATATATATATATATATATATATATATATATATATATATATATATATATATATATATATATATATATATATTTAAGAACATAGTTTTACTAATTTATTTATGTTTTGCTTTTAAATTTTTTTTTAGGAGAAGAGAAAGAGTATTTGAGTTTTGATTCCATTGATAGAACAGATTCAAGTTATACTGAAGCATATGAAGTTCTAACTCCTGAATTTCTCAGTAAATTAAGAACGTCAGGGCTTCCCAATCATAGGATCAAATTGAAGGTTGGTACACCTATTATGCTAATGAGAAATTTGGACCAAGCCGATGGGTTGTGCAACAGAACAAGATTAATTGTTACAAGATTTGCAAATCATGTCATTGAGGCAAAAATCATGTCTGGAAAGAACATAGGTAACATTTTTTACATTCCACGAATGTCTATGTCACCTTCTGATTCACCTTGGCCATTCAAGTTGATTAGGAGACAATTTCCGATTATTGTCTCCTATGCAATGACAATTAATAAGTCACAAGGTCAATCTCTTGATAGTGTTGGATTGTATTTGCCTACTCCTGTGTTTAGTCATGGTCAATTATATGTTGCAATTTCAAGAGTTAAGAGCAAAAGTGGGCTAAAAATCCCAATTCATGATAAGGAGAATGTACCGTGTTCTACTACTACTAATGTTGTGTACAAGGAAGTCTTTCAAGCACTTTGATAGTTGGTAAACTTTATATCTTATACTTTACGATTCAAATTAAAAATCTACTTTGAATTAAAATATATAGTATGTACATTTTTCATGTATTTCAAGAAGTATATAATTTTTCCTATTTGTTCATGCAGACGTGATTTGTTGATAGGACCGACGCTTGCTACAAATATGGAGTTAAATGCCAACATGATTTACATGAGACATATACTCAACTGAAAACATGGTAACATACTTAATAATTTAATAACTTATAAATGTAATGTGAATCCAGACGAGACCCGTGCGATAGCACGGGTTTGTTACTAGTTTGAAAATAAATAGACTAAAAAACTTGTACGAAACATCAATTTCATAAAAGCAGTTTTTTTTGGAAATTAATGTTCATTATTTGGTTATCAAAGATTCAAAACTATAAAAGAGAACTTGTCGGAAAAAAAAACTATAAAAGAGAAAGAGCTTAAACATGTTTCACTTTTTTATTTTTATTCACTTTTTAAAACAGAAAACATAGGAGAACAATCAATTTTCATTAATGGAAATTAGGTAATTCTAATGCAACTTAGCATATATATTACTCAAAATAATTTTACATTGAAAATTTCATACACTGTACTTTTATATTTTAATTTTAACTTTCTTTTCTTATTGAAAATACTTTTTTAATGAAATAACTTTCTTATTATAAAAATCATCTTGAAACTTTAGTGACGGAGAGCATCCTTTTCTTAAGAGAGAGCACAAAGATAAAGAGGGAGATCTTTAAATTCTAAGTCTCTTATTTAAATTCAACATCTTAGTGTACAAGAATAGTACTAGTAAGTACTGGTTTCTGACAAAAAAAATGGCATACCTCTAATTAAGTTGCATGCTAAGGTAGCATGATACAGGATATTTGTAATTGTTATCAGGATCAACCATAACATACAACACTATACACCTTGAATTATTACTAAGTTGGTAACATCTAACAAAAAATCAATTTGCTGCTTTAGAATACCCTGGTCATAAGAAAAACAAAACAAAAACTCCTAAATTTTACTGCATATGAAAATTTTTGGCAAGTTCAACACCATTACTCCTGAGGTGAAGTGGGAGAACTAATTGGCTTGCCTCGTCCGACAGCAAAACCTCTTGTACCATCTGGCATTCTAGGGCCCTTGGCGTTTGGTTTAGTCGATATTTCACTCGGGACAAGGCTGCTTGATGGAGATGGTGGGGCAAGTAGGCCACGTCCGGTATGGTTTTGAATGCGTCCTCTTCCCTTTCCACGCCCTCTAGCCCATCCTTTCTTTGATCCTACTGATGTTTCATCACCCTTCCAAGTTATCATACAAAAAATAGTCTCATTTCAGAACTTGTCATATTTAGTCAAATAGGAACTGATAACTATGAAGTCCTTGATGCAATCATTTTCTAAAACAGCATATTTGTGGATTTATATATATTCATCATCTCTATCATATGCTTAAAATTAAAATACAGCCTATGTTTCATATATATGCAATGACACTTACATTATTCTCAGTGCATACTTCAGTGTTGCTTGGATGAGAAGAATCTTCAGCAGTTTCAGAATTTTGATTCTCATCCTCATCTAGATAGCCATCAAATTCTGACTTTCTGTTCTTCAAAACAGACTTTGGCTACAAATTTACATAAAAAACAATCCATGAATAAGATCATATGAAATTAAAGAGATACCATAGATGCACAACAGCACTGATAACTGATACAAATGTTACATACCGAGCATCTAAGAAGCAACCTTACTCGCATCCCTTTCCTCCAATTCCTTTCATCATTTAACTTTTCAGCCTAATGAAATATAAAACATCTTCCCTGTTATCGTTGTATTAATAATCAAATCATATGTATCTTAAGCCTTAAGTTATTGAAGAGTTTACTCACAGCTTTGTCAGCTAAATCTGATGTCTCATACTCCACAAGTGCATGTAGCTTCATAGTGGAAAGTAACAAACAGTAATAAGTCATTGTAAGTATAATTTCTTTTCTTTAAATACCAAGACAACAGAATAATATGGTATATGCCATTGTTTCTTGTACCTTGTTACTGATGAGGAAATCACCTTTCGGGCGAGAAGAATTCGGTTCTTGGGGATGGCATATTCTGATCGTTTTCACACTGTTCAAAGATCGCACGTCAATTCAAACAACGTTTTTAAAACGTGAGAAACTGCAGGAATGTGAAGTTTAGATAAGTAAAAAAGGGTGGGGAGATAGAAATCCACCTTCCAACTACGGAAAATATTTTCTGAAGATTTTGATGGGAATGGTCATCAGGTAAATTCTCTGCCACAACAATACGAGACTGCAATAAAAAAAGCAAAAGTGATTTTCGTAATTCTAGAATTAGAAGAAATTAGGAGATAATCAATAAGCACAAAAACAAAGCATTTTATTGCTTTACCTGTAATTCCTCTTTCTCCTTTTCAGTGAAATGGTGTTTGCGTTTAACCTTCTTGCCATCAGCACTCAAAACCTTCAAACCATCGCACTGTTAGACAGCGAAAAATTGAAGAAGAATAGAAGAACACCAAAACAAGGCCTTGTTCCATCCAAAATACTCACAAGTTTTGAAGATTGACGTATAGCCTGTGTAAGAAGATGAATGTTGCTAACAAGTGACTTGATCTTTTTGGTGGAAGCAATCACAGTAATTGGAACTATCAGAAAAAACAAAATCATTCAATGATATACTATTCCAGTGTTGGAAGTTAAAGCAGAGTTTTGTTAAACAATATTGCAAAATCATTACCATAGCCTTCAGGATCCTTATTCATCTGTTTCTGGAAAGATTCATTTGCTAGTAAGCTCATGTCACTGAACTGATACTCCACCTATTACACACTCAATTATATAAGCAATGTAAACTTTACAAGTTACAGTTTAGAACAAAAACTCATACCCATTAAAAAACCTTCATAACTGATTTACCTATTTAAAAATCCAACTAAACAAATTAATTCATAGATCCTAATACATGCAAACACAATCCATTTGGCCCAATGTGGTTAGCAAAATCTCATTTTACACACAATTTCACAATGCAAACAACTTAATCTTAAAATTGAATGTCTTTATTAACACATTCAAATCAACTTTATCTCATTTTTCTCATAATTTTACAATACACATTTATTACCGTGACAAAACTGTATCAGAAGGGGTTGATAGTGATACCGTTATTCACAATTTTTGTGATAAAGAACAAATTATGCTTAATTTCTACTACAACAACCGGAATCAATGTCATAACACCTGTAGCAACCGAAATTATAAAATCCCATTACGCGACGGCGACAGATATTTACAATCTTGATATTAACTACTGATATACTTATGTATTAATGAGCAATCAACAATGTGAATGTGTTTCTACAAACATTATGCATGAAAATAAGCGAGTATGAAAAGAAGGAACCACCTGTTTAACAATCTTTTGCTGAAGATCAGGATTGAGTACATTCTTAGGAGAACTAGGCGGAGGGAGAGTTGCACTAGGGATCAAACACGAAGGATCTTGATCACCAACGTAAAACCAATCAGGTTCACCAGAACCACCGATAATCTGAAAGCAAGGATAGTAATAACCGGAAATCGGCATTTGCGAATGCGATCTCGGCACGAATTCAGGCGCTTGAACGTTGAATTTGAAGCTGGAATTGCTTGTTTCTTGAACATCTTTTTCTTGATTCTCATGCACCTTTTCTTCGCGTGTTGCTTGTGCCATTTTTTGTGAAGTTTCTTTCTCTGTGATTGTGAGAAATGAGAAATTCTGTTACGTATAGTGTTTTGTTTGTTTCTCTTTTCACAAAAGGTTAATAACTAACTATTTTTGCTTTACTTTGTTTTTGGCATTTTTGAATCCATGATAACCGTCACTTGTGGAGTTTTGACTAAATCTTTTAAGGTTATAAATAAATCTCTATAATTGCTTATCCCCTTTTATTTTCTAAAATCCCTTAAACCATGCTCATTCCTCAAATCATATGCTATATTCCTCCTTCTCTCATCAAGATATAGTCAAACACTATATTCATTTCTCAATAACTTATTCATTTTATTTGTATGATATTTTTAGAACTCTTTCAAGTTTTTAGAGGTTGAGTATTGATCTGTCGCGATAAAATAAATAGGAATTTTATTTAATTATAATTTAATCTAACTATCTATTTTGTTAAAGTTTAATTGTGATAAATTTTAAATTATTTGTAATAGTAGGTCTTACACGCCCACAATTTTAAATATTTTGGTATAAAAATTTGTTGTGAAAACGATGTATTGGAAACAAAGTATAAATGGTTTCTCTATAATCAAGAAACACACAAGGATAGAAAAGATGAAAAAACAAGAACACAAGAAATTGATTATTAACTATTATTCTTTACTTTCTCTTTAAATAAGATTACAAGTACACAAGAATAACAAATAACTCTCTCACCCTAAATTAGGGTTTGATGTATACAATGATTAGAGACTAGTATGCTATTTATAATAAACCTAACATACTAAACTAATGGGTTTGTAGTGAAAAAATCCATTACAAGCTAACTTAGGGTACAAGCTAACTTAAACAATTGGACATAACAAACCGGCCCAATTCGAAATACTAATAATCCTAATATTTCGACACCCACATACTAGAACATATTTCGACTAGAGTGTGTAAGTCTTCGACACCAGCATGTGAACATACTTCGACGACATGCATAAATCATGTCGAACCAATAGCTACTCTTCGATCCAATAGAGCTCGATCCAATATCTCATAAATCTCCAACTTAGAACAAACTCTAATATCAAAGAATAAACTAGCTTTCTTCATGAAGCATTATCAACTGCATACAGTGGAAAAACTTGTAACTGAGAAATGTCTTGGTGATCATATAAACACCATTATAATTTGTCGATCTTCAACCCTTGGACTTCTCCACGTTCGATTACCTCTTTTACGAAGTGCAGCCTCACATCGATGTGCTTGATTCACTCATGATAGGTTGAATTCTTCGACAAGTGTATTGCATTTTGACTATCACATTTAACAGTGATAACTTGACCTTGAATTTTCAACTCCTTAGCAAAACCTTCAAGCCACAATGCTTCTTTCACAGCTTCAGTGAGGACAATGTATTCTACTTCAGTGGTTGGTAAAACAACAACCTTCTGAAGTGTTGCTTTCCAACTAATTGTTGTGCCAAACATAGTGAAAACATATCCAGAAATAAATTTTCTGGAATCCATACAACCTGCATAATCAGAGTCAACGTATTCTTTGATTACTGCTTTACTATCTTCACTCAAGGCTCCACCATAAATTAGGACTATGTTCAGAGATACATTTATGTACCTTAGAATCCACTTCAATGCTTGTCAGTTAGCCTTTCCAGGATTCGCCATATCCTTACTTACAAGACTTACTGCATGTGCTATGTTCAGTCTAGTACAGGCCATATCATACATCAAAGAACTATATTAGCATATGGGATGCTATTCATATAAGCTCTTTCGACCACAGTAATAGGACACTGATCTATACTCATCTTGAATTGAGGGCTTGTCGGAGTCATAACAGGATTTGAATTCGACATACCAAACTTCTCAAGAATCTTCCGTAGGTATGCCTCTTGAGATAAGCATAATTCTGACTACTTTCTATCTCTTTAGATGTCAATCCGAAGAATCCCGGATGTAACTCCCATATCCTTCATGTCGAACTCCTTATTGAGCTCAGCCATCACCCTCATTACATCTTCGACGTTGTTGCTTGCTATGAGAATATCATCCACATAAAGCAACAAAATAACAAATGAATTACCAGGTTGAAATCTGAAGTAAACACAATGGTCTAACTGGATTCTAGTGAAACTTATGTGTGCCATGAACTTGTCGAATCTCCTATTCCATTATCGAGGAGATTGTTTCAGTACATATAAAGATCTCTTTAGCTTGGACACATAATCTTCCTTTCCCTTTTCGATATACCCTTCAGGTTGCCTCATCAGGATTATTTCATATTGATCACCATACAAGAACACAGTCTTCACATCTATTTGTTTCAGTTCAAGGTCGAACTATACTACCATGGAAAGCAACATTCGAATGGACATGTGCTTCACAATAGGAGAGAACACATCATTGAAGTCAACACCTTCTTTCTGAGTGAAACCTCTTGCGACCAACCTTTCCTTGTATCTTTTCAATGCCACTTCTTCGTTTCCTTCCTTAACTTTGAAAGTCCACTTACACTTGGCTAAACTGGCTCCAGTAAGTTTCTTGATCAGTTTCCAAGTATTATTATCATGAAGAGATTTCATCTCATCATCCATGGCCTTCAGCCATTCAGTCTTATTTCGACTCCTCATAACTTTCTTATGGTCTTTAGGTTCTTTGTCTAGATCCTCACTTGTAGAGATGAATGCATAAGCTATAAGATCTGCATATCCAAGTCTCTGAGGTGGCTTGATGACTCTCCTCGACCTATCTCTTGCCAATAGATAGTCATCGACAGTTTCCTTAACTTCCTCAGCATCTCCTGCTTCTGGGATACGCAATTCATCATCAACATGCTCCACCTCAACAGGAATTTCTACCTGTTCCATCTCTTCGTCAGATATTTTTGCATTTCGACCAACATCATCAGTTTTCTTGAAAGCCATTCCAGCTTCATTGAAAACTACATCTCGCCTAATGATACACCTCATGTGATAAGCACCATAGCATATAAGCTTTTCCTCCTTCTGAATATCCCATGAACATGCATTTTAGAGCTCTAGGTTCGACCTTGTGTTTCCTAATGTGAGCATAGGCTATTGAAGATGTGAAAAACACAAGAAGGGGGGTTGAATTGTAAAACTTAAAATCAAATGCAGACAACACGTTATTTTTATCCTGGTTCGTTTGATCTCAAACTACTCCAGTCCACTCGTCAAGGTGATTTCGCCTCTCTCCAACGAGGTCTTAATCCACTATATTCAACTGAATACAACAACTACTTTAACAACTGTTAAAGCCTTCTTGAGTCTAACCACAAACTGGTTTATCTCAAGGAAATTCTCTTACAGATAATTGAACAAAAGTGTGTTTGATGTTTTCTAATAAAACTATATATCACAACTGTGATAATACACAATATTAAGCTTAGATTGAAAACTGAATTGCTAATGCTTTTGCAGTAGGCGTGGTATGAAGGCTTTAGCAAATTGTATGAATGAGAACATTTTCGTATGCGTGCATGCGTGTAGAGTATTAGCCTTTTCTTTTCTCACATAGTCTTGTTTAAATAGCCACGAAAGAGATACGTTGGTTATCCATAAATCCATTTCAATGCTATTAACGTTCTTTCCTTTTTGAGAAGATCTTTGTCTTGGAATAAAGCCGTTGGTAATAAATCTGTCTTGAATGCTTAGTAACGTTGATACTTCAGAGTCTTCTCTGCTTATGGTAATCAGAGTGTTCTTTCCTTTATGCTGACGCTTCTGAGTGCTGATGACTTGGTTAGGATCTTGATCAGAGTCAGAGTATTTTATGTGCAGATTTTGTTCATCAGGCTTCAGCGTATAACACATGTTATTTGATCTTCTGATGCTGACATATCTTCTGATTCTGATGTTGATACTGATATTCTGATGCTGATTCCATCAGAGTTTCTGTAAATACACAACATAATTTTAAGTAGCATATATGTATTAAACGTAAATCTTACAATTTATTTAATCTTGTATTTTGTTATCATCAAAACTCTAACTGAGGGTTGTAGAATCAAACTATGTTCTAACAATCTCCCCCTTTTTGATGATGACAAAAACCAAATTTTTTCAATTAAAATAAAATAATAAAAGGTATCAGAGATTAAGGATAGAGAGGAAAAGGTATCATAGATAAACAAATAACGAATAAAAGGTATCAGAGATAAGAAGATAAGGAATAAAAGGTATCAGAGTAATGAAGAGAAAAACTCCCCCTGAGTTGATTACTTCCCTTTAATTCCATGAGACCTTGAGCATCAGAACTTTACTTTATCAGAGTTCATCAGATTCTTGTACCTGTAAGCTTTTCAGAAGAAGGAAATTCAAATATATCAGAATGTTAGAATGTTTGAGACTTATGTCTCAGTAATCCGTTATTGAAAAATATCATTCTTTCTCCCCCTTTTTGTCAGTTATCAAAAAGCACAAATAATCAGAGTTAAAGTGATCAGAGCTAAGAGAAACATTTATATTAAAAACATAAGCAATGATTAGTTCAGAACACGTAAAATATTACAGACAAACATGTAGAGAAAACAAGGAAAACACAAGAAAATTCTAAGAGGAAGGTGGAAGACGTATGAACAGGGCTTCCAACATGCTCTTGATTTGATTGCTGGTTTCCTGTTGCTGAGATACCATGTTTTCTATAGCATCAATCTTGGTGTCCTTCTTATCCATTCTTTCATTCATCAGCATATCAGATCTTTTCAAGTCCTCCAGAGTCTGCCTGTCAAGAGAGGAAGCTTGAGGATCTTCAGAAACAGGGTGCTTCTCAGAGCTTTCTTCAATATCTTCTTCTTAAACCTGTTCTTCAGCTGGAATCATCTGTTTTTCTGCACGTTGAGCTTTGGATGCTGGACGCTTTTCAGACCAAGGAGCAATGTCCAGATGGAGAATTTCTTCCTTAAGCATCTTGCTCAGAATTGGACCTTCAATTTCCTTCAGCAGATTGCTGAAGTTCTGTTGAGCCTGTCCATAGCTC